CCTAGGGCTTGGTATGAGAGGTTGAGCACCTTCATACTTGAAAGATCTTTTAAAAAAGGAAGTGTAGATACAACTCTCTTTTTGAAAAAATATGGAAAGGATTTACTCATTGTTCAAATTTATGTGGATGATATCATTTTTGGATCTTCAAATAAAATCTTTGTGATAATTTTTCTAAAACAATGAGTAGTGAATTTGAGATGAGTCTAATGGAAGACTTAAGTTACTTTCTAGGCTTTAGCATTAAGCAAATTGAAGAAGGTACATTTTTAAGTCAGTCAAAATATATTAAGGATATCCTCAAAAAGTATGAAATGGACAATGCTAAACCTGTTAGTACTCTAATGAGTTTCTTAGTTTAGTTGGATAAGGACCCTAAGTGAAAATCTGTTGATCAAAAGAAATTTAGAGGAATAATTGGATCTTTACTTTACTTGACTGCTAGCCGGCCCGATATCATTTTTAGCGTTTGCTTATGTGCTACATTTCAATTTGATCCAAAAGAATCACATTTGATAGTAGTGAAAAGAATTTTAAGATATCCGTTAGGAACTCAGAACTTAGAAATTTGGTATCATAAGTTTAGCTCTTCATTTGAAATAATTGGTTATTCGGATTCTAACTTTTTAGGCTGTAGGGTGGATAGGAAAAGCACTTATGGAACATGTCAATTCATTGGAAATTCTTTAGTCTCTTGGTCTAGTAGAAAATAAAATTCAGTAGCCCTATCTATTACTAAAGATGAATACATTGCATTAGGAAGTTGTGTGCAAGTACTTTAGTTGAAACAATAGTTGATTGATTTAGGATTGACTATATGCACTATCCAATTTATTGTGATAACACTAGTGCTATTTGCATTTCTAAAAATCTTATTCAACATTCAAGAACTAAACACATAGACATAAGGGATCAATTCATAAGGGATCATGTATCCAATGGAGAAATTGAACTCATTCATGTTAGAACTGAAAACAACTTGCATACATTTTTACAAAACCTTTAACCTTTGATACTTTTAGTGCATTAAGAACAAGGCTTAGTGTGATTGATTTAAATGCTTAAATAAAAATGTTTTCTGCAACATTGATGTTTGTTTTCTAGTTAATATTTTTAAGTTCGTTATGAGTTTTTAATCTTGTTTTTTATGTGATTTTTTTTCAGTCTACGTTGTTTTTGTTGTATATGGTGTTTTTGATGTGTTTTTGAATTTTAGTTTTATTTGTGTGCAAAATCAAAAATTTTTTTAAGTAGAAATCGTCTGGGACAAAAAATTTTCGTACGGACAATTTGTCTAATGTGTCAAAGTGTAAGATTTTGAATTGTTTGCTTGCAGTTTTTTAGTGTTTAATGGTCACTTCGTTTGGACGATCGTTATGATCGTACGGGACGATTTATTTTTCAATCGACAGGATGAATGAATGAAGCGGTTGAATGGATAAGGTAGTTTTTAATACGAACTTCGTGCGTACGAACCTTTGGTTCATCTGGATGAATACATGTCGGTTCGATATAGGGGACGGTTTCAACTGCCATTAAAACGATATAAGTTTTGATCATCCCGGGACGAACACGTATTCGTCTGTACGATTAGACTGGTCAAAATTCTGTACGAAAGGACGCTTTATAAATCACGTTGATTACGAAAAGCCGTTTCATTCTGGTCGTATTGGATCTTTTATATGATATATTTTCGTATGTGACGAACGAAAATATAGTATGGGACAAAAAGTTTTTGTCTGGTACGAACATGTTATTTTCAATAAATAGGCGGGTTTTTTAGATCAATAGTCACACTCTTAACATCACTTTCAATCCCTTTCGTATTTTAGATCTTTTACAAATGACAAGTTCTAGTAAGCGCCAAAAGGTTCTAGCAAAGAAACCTCATAGGAATTCATCCGAGAACTTTCTTTCCAAAGCTAATGAGGATTATTTTCCTAGGTTTGCTGCATCCAAAATCACCCCATCCAGAATTCTAAACCAAGATGAAATTACCTTTCAGGTGATGCATTTATTTGCTTCGACACAGTTTCATTTTATCCTTACCCTCATCCACATCTACAATAAAGAAACATTTCATTACTTTCTTGCCAACATGTCCTTCAACTCTGACCACTCTGTGATTCGCTTCTATGTTTTCAAACAAAAAGTTGAAATCACCAAACATGACTTAGGAGCATTTCTAAATTTAAGGACTGAGGGAGGTAGATCCCATACCTTAATCACCAATGATCAATATAAATAGCATGAAATCAATAAGGTGATTAGAGGAAATAGTTTAGATGAGCATGTGGCTAGGGTATCCAGTCTTATCCGGAATGCACGTATCATCCAGCACGTTCTTAGAATTTCAATCATTCCAAAAGCTGGTGATATAGTCAATATTACCCCCCTTCTTTCCATGGTGACCTTCTTAATCATGAGCAATAAGCCTATAGATGAAGCCCAACTTATCCTTGACTATCTTTATGGGCTTTCTGAAATTGACCATGCAGAACAGAAAAGAAAAAGGAATATTGCCTTAGGACACTTAGTTAACTATGTTCTGGAGAAGAAATACAACTTGTTTCATCCTGATCATAAATATGAAGAACTGCTCTACTACAATGACGGATCATTTAGAGCGATCTTCAAGGAGGAATTAGGTAAAGCACATGTCATAAGTGATACAAAGGAAGAGCTAGAAGGTGTACCTGCTCCCTCCAATGAACCAAATTATCAGGATTTAGTTCAAAGATTTGATCAGTTAGAGACTCATTTTGATCAACGCTTTGATCAAACTGAGACTCATTTACAGCAGCAGGCTGCTCAATATCAACATGACATGGGCTATATGAGGGAGCAAATGAATGATATTAGTACCAATGTACTTATGATGAGTACATACTTTAATATCTTTGGTGGTGCTCCTCCTCCTCCAGATCAGGTACCATCTGAGTGATAGATGCACTTGATTTTATGTGTTTGTGTTGTTATTGTTTTTACTTTATGTCTTAGTTATTAAAATTTTTTTGTAGTTCGATGTATTCTTCTTTTATTTCAGATGTTTTATTTTGTATTGATATCCTGATGTATCATTGTAATATCTTCAAAGTGATATCAATATTAGTTCTTGTGTTTTAAATTTAAACTTATTTTTGAAATGTTTGTTAGTCTTTATGAAAATCATCAGATTTTTTTTAATCTTAATTGTGCTATAACCTGAATTGTGAGTTAAAATTAAATTTATTAGAAAATCTAATTATTCTAAGTTTAAGTTTTGATTATAACTTGATATTATTAGAATTTTCCATTTTATGTCTCTCATTTAGACTGCCTTATTGTTAATATTATTATTGCAATTACGATGATTTTTTATTTTATATTTCACTTATCAATCATTATTTATGCATTTAGACAGATTTGAACTTTTAGATTATTGTTTTTAGAAAGAATAAAATTACTCTTGTAAATTGTTTAAAAGTAAAAAAAATTAAAAGGAATTGCGCAAATATTCGCAATGTGAAAAAGAGGCACAAAATAAGCCCAAAGTAAAAATGATGCACAAAAATGTGCCACAAATATGAAAAAGATGCGCAAAACGCTACATGTGGTAATTATTTCTTTTTAAACTCTTTTAATCTCTTAATTCAAATTGATCTTATGTTCATTTATAATTGATATTGAAATTTGAAATATACAATTTTTTATTCATCCTTAGTGCAATGATTTTCTCTATCTTAGTGTCTAAATTGACTCATATCTTTGATAAATTCTTTTTATTATCTATGTTATATCACTTCTTAAATTATATGAATTTCTATGATTTTCCTAATATTTTAATTTTATTTGCATAACTTATTTCAATCACTTTCAAGGTTAAAATTATCAAATGAATTTCATATTACTGCTTACATTTGAAGTCTTTTTTCTTCTTCACTTTTTGCTGCTGTAAAAAAGGGGGAGAAATTGTTTGTTTCAATAGTTCTTTTATAGTTCTTTTGTGAATATTATAGTTCTTTTGTGAATATATATTTTTGTCGTCGTTGGAATATGTGTTTTTATCGTTATGTGTTTTGTGTGTTTTTTTTGTTTTGTGTGATATTATTTTGATATTGTATAAAATCTTTGAAAAACAAAAATTTTGAATCAATGCCTCCTTATTTTCATGTATTCATCAATTTAGGGGGGAGTTTAGAAGATCATTAGAATTTGAAATCCTACAAACAATAATTATTTTGTCATCATCAAAAAGGGGGAGATTGTTAAGAGAATTGCTATTAACATGTTTTACATTCTTGCAACTTGTATATTTTTTATGATTTCAAATATTATTATTTTATGTGTAATTATCTCCTAACATTTTTTGAAAGATTTATTTCTGCTCTTGTGTGTACTAACATTTCAGGAAAATTGAACTCCAAACTATGAAGACTTCAAATCAAATTCAGCATACAATCCTTTGCAAATTGAAGTTTTAAATTGTTCTTTGAATTGAGAGGAAGTGATTGTAATTGAGTGAATAAAAACAGACACACACACTTAAGGAGATCTTACAAAATTTACCAGCTCCAAAGTATTTTGCCAGCTTATTTCGGTTCCATTCACCTTCTTTAATAAACTTATCCATAGAAGGGAAATCCTCCTCCAAAACTATAATGAAAGTAGACCACCTTGAAAAACTCCTATCAAGAAGTCAAACATCTTTTAAAATATTAATAAACCACCTGAAGCAACCTTCCATCTAATCGAAGGCCGAAAAGATTGGGCACCTTTTAACAATATTTTTCAAGTGGAAGAGCATTTTTTCATACAATCATTATTCCAAATATTGATAATGCACTGAAATAAAACAACAATAGAAAGAGACGCAAGTATACAAAAATGCACATAAAAGTTAAGCGGCGCACGTTATCACCACGGAGAGCATTCACATTCACCGCACGGGCGGCGCACGTTAACTCGATTCTATCCTATTCTCCTCCACTCAAATAATAGCGTTACCCAAATATATGAAAATCCGCGCACTCACACAGCTACTCCCTCGCTTTCTCTCTGCTCTCAGTCTCTCACAATGGCTTTGACGGGTTCCATATCGGGCACCGGCAGCAGAATCTCTGGACTCCTTGGCCTTCAGCGATCGACACCAGCTGCCTCTATTGCCGTCTTGGCAGCTCCCCGGCCCGCTGGTAACGTTAGCGACGGCGGAAACCTCATTTCTGGAAGGCAGCTCTGCCCATCCCTCTTTCAAGGGATAAATCCATCTCTTATTCCGACGGCCGCAGGAAAACGCAAGATTCTCCGTCCAATCGCCGCCGCTGCCTCTTCGTCTCAGGCCGAAGGGAGCGATTACGCAGGGTGAGGTCCGTCTCCTCCGTGAAGTGAAAAATTTCATTAGCTTTAATAAAAGATCTTATAATTTTATTTTTCTCCTCAATTGGGGATTTTCTCAGGGAAGTGTCGGTTCCCTTCACCGTGAAGTACCAGGCTCTCATCACGGGTTCTTTCTTTTTCTTGTGGTACGGAGTTAAAATATTCCATTTAAGTGGTGTAATTACGGTGCATTGGACTCTTAACTACGTTTCTGCCGCTCTAGGTATTTTCTAAATGTGATCTTTAACATTCTGAACAAGAAGATCTACAACTACTTCCCCTATCCATAGTAAGTATTTTTCGTGTGTTGTTGAGGGGCTCAGTTATGTTTTTGAATGATGGGCTGTTGGTGTTTGGTGTTTTATGCTTGGCAGCTTTGTTTCTGTCATACATCTCTTCGTGGGTGTCGTGTATTGTCTCGTGAGCTGGTTGGTTGGCCTTCCTAAACGCGCTGTAAGTTGTTCCGTGCGAACCCAACTGTCTACATATTTCATTCATGTGCAGTTTTGGATCCAGCTCTTCCAATTCCGTTTCGATAGCTGCAAATTGCATTTATAGAATTAATCAAAAGCTAGTTCTTGAATAAAAATATAATTTTGACAATATAAACTGAGTTGACATTGATCCCGGCCATTCAAAATAGATTGAATGTTTGGAATCTATTATTGGTAGTTTGATAGGATCCCAGATCATATTACTCAATGCTACTCTTTCTTAAAACATTAAACAAGAAAATTATTAAGCAGGAGCTCCATGAGACACAATATAATACTTTGGAGCATCATCTTGTTAAAAACTTCCAAAAGCAGGTCGTTTAGGTAGGCATATGTTTTCTTTTTATTATTTTTTAAATTTTACCATTAACAGCTGTTCTTATAACCACATGCTATGTGATACTTTCCCAAAAACAATTTTTTTAAGACATTTTTTTAGAAGTTGAGCGAATAAATTGCAATTGAAAGTAAAGATTCACTCAAACCCAGGCAGGATAGAAAACTGGCATCCAACCAATGCGCCGTGATGGTAAGTGTTCTAAGACAAATTTGAATGTATGGTGAAGATATTGTCACCCAAAGGGATATTGCTTTTTGCTGTCATTTATTCCTTCAATTAATGCAGTAAAATAAATATTACAAACAAAGGATATTAGCTAACACCTTTCTTTATTTGCTTCTGAATAGATTCCTTTGTAAATGATGATACATAGTGTCATGTCTTGTTGAAGCATTTTAAATTAGCGCTTTGGATTGTATTCCTATTGAAGTTTGGGATTACCACATGGAGAGAGCTTTTTAAAACAATAGAAAAAACTGAAAATATATTTATCGATATTAGTATACACTTTTAAATTAATGAAAGAATTAATTCTGATCCGTTGGTAGCCTGGCAAATAAATAGTAGCTTGATACAACAATTTCTAGAGTTGAAGGTTGGCTAAGGGTCATTAACATAAAGTAAAGTTCACCTAAAAAAGAAATTCTCAAGTGCTATTTGGTTTGTTGGAAACTCGATTTGAAGTGAATTTTTTAAATGGAAACTAATCTTTTGTGTTGTTTTTCATGCATATGAATCAAGTGAAGTTCGTGTCCTTATGAGTGTTAGGCATCATTATGGTAATCTGGATGTTAATGCCCAGGGAGCTAAGCATCCTACCCACTCTCCGCAAGAAAGTATGATTCTTTGATAGAAATTGTTTTTCTATTTAATAAAATCTATTGAATTACAAGGAAGAATTTTGTATAGTGTAAAATGATAATCTTAACATTCAATATTTAATAAATTAATGAATTTGTTCAATAGATTAGCTTAAATAAAATACCCAAAAGACATTTTAAGCTAATATAGATTTTATGTAGTGTATATAGCTTATTGATAATATCATTTGAACTATTGCATGTCCCATCTTTATCATCTTCCATGTTGCCTTTTTCATCATTGTTGACCTCTACTAGAGTCCAAAGCAAAATCATCAAATAAAATAAAAAAAAAGTAAGACATCTTTCCTCAAATCTTTGCCATGCCTCTGCTGAACTCTATCGAATCTTGCTGAATCAGTCGCAGTCTGCTACAATGCCCATACCTCTGATATTCGGCACCATTGCAGACCATTCATGCGTGCTCCTGCCCTTCGCGTCGTTAAAAGCACGCCAAAATGAAGCTTTCTCTTCGCTTATCTTCCGGCATATAGCTCGCAAGCTCTCCCATGCTCCTCAAATCCACGAACCCTCGTCGCTACTTCCAATCCCCTTGAGGCTTCCAACCACAGGCCCACTCCCGACTTCTCCTGCTCAAACCAAGCCCTTTTTGAGCCTTTGCAAGCCTCTGATACCAAAAACTCCATCCACCTTCATCTTGTACAAGACCTTGCCGATTTCCTCTTGCAAACCCCTAGCCGTAGCCCCTGCCCTTTTCGCAAGATGCAAGCTTCCTGATCCATTCAGTCCACTAAGAGAGAGAGAGAGAGAGAGAGAGAGAGAGAGAGAGAGAGAGAGAGAGAGAGAGAGGGAAAATTTATATAGTTAATTATTATTTCAAATTAGCTATAATTAATTAAAGTTAGTTGTAATTAAAAAAGTTGAATATAATTAATTATTATTAATTTTAATAAGTAATAATTAATTATTATTAATTATAATTAATTATTGTCTTTAAACTTAATTAAAATTAATATAAAAAAGGAAGAAAGAGATCTTCTCTCGTCTTGATCCACGTGCCAACTCCACCGAGGTCCCTCTATGCAGGTATAAAGTTCTGAACTTCAAAAACTTGTCATCGGTGCTTGCAACGTGATGAACAACCACTCATGCGCACTTTTCTTAGCACAGTGGGAAGAAACTCGTTGCGGTGCTCGTAACGAGGCGGGCAATCCTCTCCAAAGTCCTATTTTCGACGTTTGCAGCACACCGAGGGACCCCTATGCACGCTTTTCTTAGCGTGGCGGGAGGGAACTCGGTGTGGTGCTTTCGATGAAGTTGACAAGCTTTGTGCGTGCTTTTTTTTGCACTACGGCAAAAATATAAGTACCTGTACTCGAGAAAAGCTTCTTTTTCAAATAAGTGCTTTTGAAGACCCATGCACACCTTTCTTGGCGTGGTGGGGACAAAGACTACTGTCGCAGTGCCCCCCAACACCGACCATGCATGTCTTTCTTGACATGGCGGGCAGGCTAAGACTCCTGTAGTTTCTCCTAAACAGGGGAGACATCGGGAGGCTGCCAAAAATTCCAGTGATGAGAACTTGAATTGAACCAAATAATATGGGACTTGGACTTTATTTGGACATTGATTTGAACATCAAAATGAACTGAATTCTAATTTGAATAAATAAGCCAAGGACTTAAATCAAACTTGAGAAATAGAACTTGAACTTGGAAATAAAAAAAATTATGAGCAAATACTTGTTAACTCGGACTCGAATGAATAAGTTATAGAAAAATAAACTCATGATGACATGGAACTTGAACCTGATCTGAACCACAAGGAACTTAGCTTAAACCAAATGATGATACAAATTGAACCATATGAGGAGCGACATGGCATTAAAAATGAGGTTATGATTTGTAAAATAATAAGCTCCAACTTAAATACAAGTAAAAATGTATAAGACTGAGGATGGAAAATAGATTTACAAACACTACTTACCATTGGCAGTAAATTTGTGAACAATATAATCAAATTTTATGACATAATCTGATGCTTTTAATGAATAACATGGCTCGCTTGCAACAATAAACAATGATTTAACTTCAAGAAAACACATTCCTAGTGGAACTTGAACCTGATCTGAACCACAAGGAACTTAGCTTAAACCAAATGATGATACAAATTGAGACTACAACAACACCCTGCAATCAATTTCAAAGTGCAGATGCACATACAACATATCTTCCACAACCAGTGGCAGTATAATTGTAATGAATGTGTTAACTGACTAGAAAAAGCTCTTGATGAATATGATGATTCACTAAAGGAATGGTACAAGCAATATAGAACTTGTATTGTTCATGACAATTAACCCATAGGTCTACTTGAGGGAGCTTGAAATTACTAGTATATGGAGCTATTAGTGAATGTGATAGTTGGTATGTAAGTGGGACGATAACCTACCAACAAAATATACATAGGACATTTTAGCGAACATGGCTTGCTTGTAGCCGATGTCAATCAACATACATGAAGAAGCTGATGGTGAATGCAACACATCCAACGAGCAATAATGGTTTGCAAACAAGCACGTTAATATTCCTGTAAACAATGATAGTAGATATATTACAGGTGTAATAGGTCCTCTATAAGCATGGATATGTAACACATTGTTCGCAAACAAAGGGCTGAATATCACAACACATACGAAAAGACTACAACAAATGCAAGCCCTTACAAATTAGTGTAGAAAATCTCTCCATACATACAAATAACAGAACTTCAAATGCACAAAATGACTTATCCATAAGTGGTGTGATACGTTTGTGAGTAAAGTTTAGAGATCTAAAAATATCTCTATATTGTGCATGATGAGCACAGAAGTCTACAATGGTTGTTCATGCCGCCTGCAATAGTATTGTAGCAAGTATACACGTTTATCCCTTACATGTAGAAAGGATAGACATAGGATGTACATAACAGCTCAATGTACACAATGAAGCTTGAAGTGTATGCAAGAAGTTGGCCACAAATGCAATAACATACTTACAAGTGATGAGTGTCGGCAGACAATGAATATTATAGTATTCTAGAGCCAACCTGGATCAACATATGAGTAATTAGAATAAACTCCTGCAATAGTCCTCATGCAACTGAATGCATTGTACTTGCAAGCAACACCAACCTACTTCTGAATGCATGGATGTCTCCTACATGCATTAATGAAATTCCCAATATAAGCAATAAAGCCTGTAGATTGAGATGACAACACTGAAAATTTATAAAAATATGACTTGAAATGGAGGCACCTAAAATTAACAAGGAAAAACTATCATGTATACAACAAATCACATCAACAAGACAACAGACGCTGAGTACAATAATGCCTTGAAGTCAACATCAATAACCTATATGCAACTTGCTATCGCAAATAAGTACACAAACACCACCTGTGAATGATCAAGGTGGATATGATGCAAATACAACGGCTCTACTATAAGTACGTCTAGGAGATTGTAGTGAATATTCCCTGCAAACAGTAATAGTTGATATGATATTTATGGATAACAATAGTGGATATATCGTAAGTACATCAAATCCCCTGTGGACACAAATACACGCAACATCTACAAACAATCGTAGGAGATATAACATACAGGTTTCCATCTGCGGATAAGGATGAACACGTACAACACCTACAGCAGTGATGATTGAGATGCTGTAAGTATGAAGAATCTCTTATGGACACATCACATACAACCCTACAACAATGGTGGTTGAGATGCTGCAATTGATCTTGGCATTGATCTGAGGCATAAGAAATTGACGAAGCCACATCAAATAGAAGGCTTCAGATTCCTTGTCAAAAACCTTATGGTAGAAGGATTAGGTGAATGCATCCTTGATCATGCCCCAGGATCTGGAAAACATTTATGCTTATAAGATTTATGCAGAGCTTTATCGCTCAGAAACTTGATAAAAGACCATTGGTGGTTCTTCCTAAAGGGATATTGAGCACGTGGAAGAGAGAGTTCCAACAATGGTAATTGGAGGACATATCCTTGTTTGATGTATATTTCTTTAATTGTGATCATAGAGCACAACAACTGAATATTTTTGAAGAACTGGGAGTAAAGTAGAGATGAATGCAATACCCCAAGAAATAACAACGCTGCAATTGTGTATTCACTTTCAAGAATTAAGATACCTCAGAGGGAAGTACTTTCAGGCACACTGTTCCATAATCATGTAATGGAAGTCTCCAATATACTCAAATTAGTACGACCTAAATTCATGAAGGGGGAGTCCTTCTGGAATGTCATGAAGCATATCCGTAACAGTGTAGAGATATCAGTAGCTTGTGATACATCATCTATCACAAAACGACCTCATGTCGTTTAGATGTATTTACCCAATCCGAACAAAAGTGGATTGATTCGGAGATCCGATCTCTGGATGAATGAGAAAAGGGAGTCTACATTAGAACAATGAGGTATCTTATGGTATCCTGGTGACATCACTACGATTCATTTGTAAGCAAAGGCGGGGAATCAATAATAAAATGACCACGAGCTACTAGAGTGTGATACCACACCACTGAATTTGCAAACTTCATACAGGCAGACAAAAGGTGTCAACGAAATCCAAAATAAAGCCATGCACATTCAATAATAATAGTCACCTATACAGTCGGACACCCCTCTGCATTGCATGTAAATATTTTAGAATGTCCCCTCATATACACATTGCATTTGCATGATAATATGTTGTATATGCATGTGTCATAATCTATAGAAGGCATTACCCGGGCATGTCATATGACATCATTGTTGCATGTTAAAAAAACCTCTTGCATAAGCAGAGGATATCACTCTAGTGTGTTATTTGACACTATATTTACATTTCAAAAATACCTCCGCATGCATTGGCAATAAGCAGAGGGTTTCACTCTAGTATGTTATTTGACATTGCTACTGTATTTCAAATCATCATCCTACATAAGTTGAGGGTTTCACTCTAGTGTGTCATTCAACACTACAATTATATTTTAAGAAAATTTATATCATGCATACATGTGAATGCATCGTGTGAAATGCATCCAATGGAATATACCTACGTAGGCCCTGGTGAGCATGTTGTAGGTATACACATGATGCCTGAGAATGACATGCAGGTTAAAGAAATAAATTTGGATTTGAACCCGATCCTCTGTTAGCGAGTAGACAAAGTCGAGTAGGTTCAATCAATAAAACAAAATATTTATAAACTCCTCGATGATGATCGTGTTGAATGTAAATCTCAACCGGAGGGGATCATATATTTCTTCAAATGCCCTCAAACTATCACAAAATATACACATTTTCAAATGACTCCCTATACTCCGATGATGGCCGTATTGAATGTCTATCTCAATTGGAATGGATTATATGTTTTCAAATATCCTAAACACCCTTAAAATCCTTAATTTCAAAAATACCGAAATTCAAAATATTTAAAATTAAAATTCAATCATCAATTACTTAAAACAAAATATACTCATCCATCCTCAACAAGGTTTTGCCGGGTTGGACAAATATGAAAATTACCCCAGCTCACAAAGAGCTAATGTCTAGTTGAAAATATCTCTAAGATCAATTTTCAATTTATCTCTTGCTAGTACGGATGTGACACGTGTTCTCTAATCGGTGGTTTCGTCATCAAATGGCACCACACATATGGTTTTGCCACTAAATAGCACCGCAGGTAAACGGTTATGACCGGGACCCTCTAAACCAGGTGGTTCGTCGCGAAATAGCATCATTAAATTACGATCATGGTCAATGCCCGTATGCTCACCAATAGCATAAAACTCTTGATATATGAATCAATAAGATATAATTGTTAATTGATAGGACACAAAGTCCTCTGTTAGCTAAGGTGGATTTAAATTTGTCTCCGTAGGCAAGCATCTACCCCATATCTTCAAGGTATCCTTGGATGATGCAACCCATGGTTGCAAACAAGGATTCTTCTGTCAGGTTGGGTCAACTACCTCTTATGATTAAGTAGACCAGGGACCACAATGACCCGGGATGACAGAACCATGGGATCTTGATCGGGCTCATCATCACTCCCCCACCATTCGCTTTAAGTATAAGATGGTGAAATTTTAAGATTTAAATATCAAATTTTCAAATACCCAACCCATGCTGCTACTATGCAAGGAGGAGAAATTAGTGGAGAAAAAATTAGGGATGTTTATTTAGAGAAAGTTGGTTGATTTGAATTTAGATTCGGGTGTAAATTAGGAAATGTTTATTTAATGGGTTGATTTGAATTAAGATATGGGAGGGAATTAGGAAGGTTTTATTTAGGAAAAAGTGGATGATTTGAACTTAGATTTGGGAGGGAATTAGGAATATTTTATAAAGCGAAAGAAGACTGATTTGAATTCAGATTTGGGTTGAAAATATGATAGTTTATTTAAGGGCAATTAGGTTATTTTATTTTCATCATGTGATTTATGTTTACTGCAGTTTTCTTATGAGTTGTTTCTAGCGGCATATAGGATTTGTGGGAGAATTAATCTACCTCTTTAATAGTAGATCAATTGTATCTTTTATTATTGTTGAAATATTAATCAAAATCAGCTCTATCTTCAAATTCTTACAGTTTTCTTCTTGTTATTTTGTTGTTTTTCTTTCCAAAATGCATCAAATTGGTATCAGACCGCGAGGTTTTTTTATAGACAATGGCAGCAAAGAAGGTGGTTGCGTTAGAAAATGAAATGGAACAATTCAGTTCCAGGTTGGAGGAGAAATTCTCAACCCTCGAAGGAAGATTTTGAACCATAGAGAATTGAATGGAGATTCGATTTGGGAGGTTGGAGGAGATGATGAAGAAACTCATTGAGATGCAATCCAAAACTCCGTTGGTGGTTTTGATGGCTAAACCTAACCATGATTTGATCGGGATTCTCTTGAGAAGAGTTCGAAGAGGAGTGTTTCTTCCATCAAAAGCAAGCGCCTAGGGCTCCGATGAGGAGCAGAATATGGTTTCCGGATGAGGGGACAACAATGAGGGAATTTTTTGGTGGAGATGGCAGGGGAGCCGACCACTATGAGAGGCATTTCAGGCAAGGGAGTGGGCCATAGGAGGAGGGAGTCAAAATTCACCTCCTAGGGCTCTGATAAGGGGTGTAATAGGGTTTTTGGATGGGGGATAGCAGGAAGGGAGTTTCGTGGTGGAGGTGGTGTTGTGGTCGATCACTATGTGAGGTCTTTTGAGCATGGGGAGTAGGTGATCGAAGGAGGGGGACAAGTAGATCCATGGGGATAGGGTCATGTGATGTAGGTGGAAAAAGGTGAGATTCCCATCCTCGATTCATGAGAAAAATATGGAGGGATTATGACAACCACTATACTCGAGGAGGAAGAAGCTATTGGGGCAGTAGCGATTCTAGGGTGAGAAAGTTGAAGATGCTAATGATTAATGACAAGAGGAGCAACTCAGAACTTTCAACAAACAAATTGAAGTGGATAAAAAAATAATCATCTCAAGGAATAATCTTATTGGGCTACCAATTCGTTCTCAACATTCTGAGTTTATTGTTCAGGAGGTACTTATAAGGTGGAAGGATTTGTTGTAGTACGAAGCTATATGGGAGCCATATGAGATGATCAGGGGATCGTTCCCATCTTCCACCTTGAGGACAAGTTTTATTTTGTGGAGGAAGTTTTGATACACCAAGGGGGCCCACCTTGCCGTCCCAGGGGAGTTAATATTCACTATGCAAGGAGAAATCAAGGGAGAAATAATTAGGAATGTTTATTTAGGGAAATATGATTGATTTGGATTCAAATTTGGGAAGAAATTATGAATTTTTTATTAAAGGAAATAGGGCTGATTTGAATTTAGTTTTTGGTGGGAAATATGATAGTTTATTTAAGGGTAATTAGGTTGTTTTATTTTCTTTATGTGATTTATGTTTGCTGTAGTTTTCTTAGGAGTTGTTCCTTGCGGCGTCTAGGATTTGTGGGAGAGTTTATCTACCTCTCAAATAGTAGATCAATCGTATCTTTCATTATTGTTGATGTATTAATCAAAATCAATCCATAGCTTCAAATTCTTACAGTTTTCTACTTGTTTCCTTGCTGTTTTTGCTTCCAAAATGCATTAGACGCCTAACTCAAAGCAGTCGTACAGACAACGCCTTAGTAATAACACAGACCTAGGAGGTTTGCAAGGTGCTATGACCTCACTTTTCTTTGCTCAACCTTCTGGGCATGTGCTTGTGTTGACTTCAACTACTTTTTAGTGTTGCAATTTCTTTGTAAATTTTGTTGCATAGTTATCAGGCAGTCAAGTTTTCAAACTAACCAAATAGCCTCTATAAAAATGAAATTTTCACTTGCTTCTTAGATGAAATCATTATGCAAGTATTATTTAGATATTATGCGATTTGTGGGTGTTAGGCGTCAGGCACTTAACCGTTTGGGTATTTCTCAGCATGCTTTCTGAATAAAATTGTTTTGTGTAGCCCATTGACTCCAAGATTTTGAAGTTGCTTATCCCAGTTGGGATTTGCCATGCCCTTGGTCATGTTACTAGCAATGTTTCATTTGCTGCTGTTGCAGTGTCCTTCACCCACACAATCAAAGGTATTATGAAATTTTTTTTTTGCTTCTCTGATGCTCCAGAATTTGGAGTTAGACAAAGAATGAGTGTTACATTTCTTACTTCGTGTGATTCCTTTCAGCTTTGGAACCTTTCTTCAATGCGGCAGCTTCACAATTCATTCTTGGCCAGCAGATTCCCTTTGCATTATGGTTGTCTCTTGCACCAGTTGTAGTTGGTAATCTTTCTTTAAGATAATAGGTTTTGAAACAAATATGGTCTTGAATTGATGGGCTAAAATGAGACATCACCTGCTTAACTTTGCTCATGGATATTACAGGTGTCTCCATGGCCTCTTTAACTGAGTTATCATTCAACTGGCTTGGCTTTATTAGTGCTATGATTTCCAATATCTCCTTCACGTATAGAAGCATTTATTCGAAGAAAGCAATGGCATGTCTCTCTTTTCCTAGCATAATTTCTGTTTCTAATTCCACTGCTGCTCTTTACTTAAACAATTTGAATTTTGCAGACTGATATGGACAGCACAAATTTGTATGCTTACATTTCAATTATTGCACTGATCGTTTGCATTCCTCCTGCAATAATTGTAAGTGAATTTTTTAATTCTGGTGTAGGAAATATTACTTCTGAGATGCATATCAATAGTAGTAACTTGATTTGCCATTAATATAATTCACTGCACACGTGAAGGCATTTTGAATATATTTTCTTAATGAAGAATATAATGTGCAAGGCTTATTTAAAGAAAAGTCTCTCTGAAATAACTACATCAAAAATCTGAAAAATAATGCTGTCTTGAGATATTTTTCTCTTTATGTTCATGGAAATTTTTTTTTTCAGTCTTAAATATCGTAGATGCCAATTTAGCATGAAATTTTCAGTCAGTTGCTAGAAATGTGCTGTTCATGCCCAAATGATCTAGCATATCACATTTCTTCTGTTTGTATGGAATTGTTAACCTCTACGGTAGAAGAAAAAAAAAAGCTAAATCATTACCTCTGCCGTCCATACCAAAATTCTGCTACAATCACATCCCCGCCGCTTGCTACAGTACCTATGCTCTGTGATTCGGTGCCATTTGCAGTCATCCCACGCATGCCTACGCTGGCTTTTAAAAATAGAGAGGAGACGGAGCCTTCTTTTACTCTTCTCCTCCCACGCTAAAACTCCCACCTTTTGCAAGTCTCCCGAAGTTTTCTTCTTCCCATTTGCAACCTCCTCAAGCCAGCAACTCCTTCATTCATGCCTCTTCTCCGATTCCTGTATCCACACGCCCGCCTCCTCTCTCGTTTCCAAACGTAAACCTCATGACCCTCACACCTCACAGCCGAGTCGACCCCTACAGCTGGTGGAGCCACTCGATTTGACCTCACCTCACCATGCCTGAGACAATCTCATGCAAATAGACAAACATCAGCTACTAGACTTTTCTGCAAAATCCCTTCTCCTGTTTGTGAACTAGTCTAAGGCCCGGTCTCCTCTCATACCCGTTCAACCTCATTGTCCTTCTTCTAGTAAGGTCGAATACAACTCCATCTCAATCAAATACCTCTCATAATCGCAAACCTTCGACCTCCTTTTGATCTCCCTCAGCAAGCCACTTGAAACCTAGCCTACCCATCCCCTTTCAAGCGGCTGATTAGCCACATCTGCTCCTTACAGTAACCTCAAATATCTGCATCTGCTCCTCCCCCCCCTCTCTCTCTCTCTCTCTCTCTCTCTCTCTCTCTCTCTCTATATATATATATATATATATATATATAAAGAATAAAAAAAATGCAAATGAAAAAAAGGAGGAAAGAAAATATTTGATTGTGTGCATTTATGTCGATGTCATCGCCGTACTCGCAAATTTATTATTTCTAAACTTCAAAACTCTGCTCTTGGCGTTCGCCGCGAGTCGGCGGACTACCCATACACGCTAATCTCTAGCATGGTGTGAAGGAAACTTGGTGCGGTGCCTACGGCGAGGCTGGTAGGCCCTGTACATGCTCTCGTAGCATGGCAGAGACATTTTTAAGTACACTTACGCGATTACATAATGTGGCGGGGAAAAGAATTGTGCATTTCAAACAAGTATCTTCGAAGACTCATATGAACATTTCTTAGCGTGGTGGGGATGCAGACTGCCGCAGCGGTGTCACCCGACACCGAATGTACACGTCCTTCTTGATGTGACGGGGAGTCTAAGTCTCATGTAGTTTTCTTTTTATGAGGGAGACGCCGGGAGGCTGCCGAAATGTAGTTAGAGGATGCATAAGACTTGAACAAGTTATAGGGGACCTGATTGGCTGATTTGCACTTGAATGAACTGTAGAGGACCATAATTGAACACGAACTAAATGAAATAACAACGGCTTGAGCAATTAACAAGAATTTGCAAACTCGAACTTGAACTTGAGCAACTTAAATAGAAGACTTGAAAGCTTGAATATGACGATGAATTGGACTTGAATTTGAACAAATAATAGAGCATTGACTTTAAATTGATAAAGACATGATCGAGATGAAGACATCAAAAATCAAATAATAACTTCGGACATTCAAATGCATTCAAATGAGCCTCATGCAAGCAAATGCAACTAAAAGGATTTGTTTGATTAAACATATTTGCAAAGTGAGTGAGCATGAAGGAATGTAATAGCATCCTTTTCACCAACAACAATTCAACTCCAAGAAGATACCACAATGAATGAGATTAAATGCAAATAAACAAGCAAGGATGCATGCATCTCACTTATAAGCAATAAATAGTGGATTCATGCATGAATTGATTGCAAGAAAACATACAAAGTCCTTAGCAAATATGTTATCTACAAATGATGAATGGTGTATCTGCAGAAGAAAACATGATTTGGTTGCAAACAACAAAACCTCAATGAGATATCATGGAGCCATCACATTAATTGGAATACAAACATTAATAGAGAATGTGATGACCCCGCTCTTGTCAATATTAACTTGCAAGTGAATTCATTAAATATATATAAGTGAGGAGAGCAATGCATGATGAATATGATGAACTCCTGCAAATAATGACGACAACCGACATTCATGTATGAAGAATGCCATGTCATTAGAAATGAAAGTTATGGTGAAGATAATCCATTTGCAAGCAACGACAACAAATATGGCCTATTTTACAATAATTACAGCTGAATGTTGTGAGTGCGGAAGATCATATGTAGACACAAATGCAAGGGCCTGTACTGAATCCAGATACTTACGGGAAATTATAGGAAGTTCGTCATGCATACGATGACCCACTCGCAAATTAAAAAGGGTGACTGAGGAAATCCTGCAAAGCATATAGTGCCCCGTTTACAAATGACAGTGGTGGATGCGTTGCAAATATGAGGAGTCCTCTGCAAGTAAGGATAAAAGATCTACAACACACACGGGTCCTCTACAAACACAGATGTACGCACTACATGCTACCTGCAGTAGTAGTAGATATACTGCAAGGACGAAAGACCGTAACAAAAAATGTGTAAAGAATACTGAAATTGCTCTGATGGCACTAGAAAGTTCGTTAGGGATGTTAAGCCCTTATGAACTGGCCCAAGGCTAAATAAAAGAGAGCTGAATTGGATAACTTTAAAACCAAAGATAAAACACAATCCAAAATCACCACGAAAAAACAAGTGCGTAAGAAAATAATGCGAAAGCAATAATAAGAAAGAACACACCAGATTTATAGTGGTTCGGTCAAACCTTGAGCTACGTCCACTCCTTGGAGGCACCCTCCAAGTATTGTACTAAACAAGTGTCTCTCCTTTGGCCCCCACAGCTAGGCGGAGAAGCCCTTACAAAATCACTTCCACCTTCCCCGGTGCGGCGGAGTCGCCGGGTCCTTTGACACCAAAGAGATCTTCTTCTTTGGTGAACTTACCTCGAGACAAGCCTTGAATCTGATGGTACTAAGGTGCGAGTTCGTCGGAGCAACCGTGTGGAATACCCTCCACACTCCCTTGAGTTCCTCCCCCTCACAGGATCTTCTTCCTCTCAAACTCCACCCTTTCCTCTCTCCCTTTCAAGCTCTCTATTCAAGTTTCTCCCAAAAGAACGAAGCTACAATAGCTGCTAAAGACACTTAACAAGTGCCTTGACAAAGCTTAAATAGAAGTGCTCAAAACGAGCTCATTAATACAAGTTGCCGACATTATCGTCCAGGATGATAGGAATATCGTCCTGTACGGTCAGTACAATTTAAGCCCAATCAGCCGGGACGATTTGAGACGATCAGAAGAAGTTTGTTCATATCGTCCAGGACGATAATATATCGTCCTGGACGATCAGTACAAATTGTGGAATATCGTCCTCAACATCGCCCTGAAAAATAGCTATCCGATGACCAATCGTCCAGCATATCGTCCTGGACGATTTTGTGATCGTCCAGGACGATTTGATCGTGAAATCAATTCATAATTGCTTTCCTTAAATTCCAGAGAAATTTTGGAGAAATTGACCTGGATTGTCCTGGACGATATTTTATAGTCCTGGACGATCCACCTGGACGATGTCCAAAAATACGTTATTTCTCAATAGATCTTGCGGCAGATTCTTTCTGTTTTGAGCCCATCGTCCTGGCCGATACAAAATCGTCCAGGACGATGTGTTTTGTATAATGACGACTGCTTTAATGAGGATGCCCTAATTAGGGTTTCTGCTTTTGGACAGATCGTCCAGGACGATAAAAATATCGTCCCGGACGATGTTACCAAAAACAGAAATCTTTAGGGAGCAATAGAAAATCTTCCAAGTTACAAAACATCAGGAGCCACACCAAATACAATAGACTCAAGAAAGAAAAAAATGTATAAACTGACTCAGACCTAGTCTACCCAATCTTGAGCTGATTCCAAATTGCAGTCCGATCATGTGAACCTGAAATGTCAGTACATAAGGCAGCCGTAGAGAAATAAGAATGTTTGCTATCATCAAAATTATAAACCATTGATCCGCAACAAATACAACAAATGCAAACACACCTACAAGCTGTCGTAGTAGAAGGAGACCTGTCAAATATCCTAAAAATGCCCCCACACGTGCATTATGATGTGTATATACAAGCACCAAAATGCATATGCACATATATTAACATGTATATATGTAAGAATACACACCCGTATGAGCCCGGGCGATTGTTTCATATTTACAAACGTGATGTCTAGGGATGCTGCGCGGGTTAAATGACAAATTTAACTTTGAACCCGATCCTTCTACATGATTGGATTCGATTTGACATGGTTCGAATTATCAAACAAATATACGGTTACGACGTCGACCAAAATTTTTATTTTGATATGCTCATATTAGGCCTTCAAGGTCTATAAGAAGGAAAATTCATTAAATAAAAGCATAAAGCTAGCAATAAACCCGATCTTCTGTTAGTAATTAGACATAGTCAATAAGATTCAACAGATAATTATAAAAATGCCCATTTTAAATACCCGCAGGGGCCCCGACGAGTGTGTTACAGGTACGCACATGACGTCTAAGGATGTTGTGCGGGTCAAATATTTATTTAATACATTCATATTATAAATAATGAAAATTCACTGATAAAGACACAAAGCTGGCAATGAACCTGATTCTCTATCTGCAATTATACAGTCGGCAAAGTATAATAGATGATTACAAAAATGCCTCCATAAATACTCGCATGGGTCCTGACGAGCGTGTTAAGGGTGCACACGTGACGTCTAAGGATGCTGCATGGGGGTTTAAGAAACATATCCAAATTTGAGTCCGATCATTCTATGCGAGTAGGTAGGAGTTGACATGGCTCGAATTATTAAACAAATATACGGTCACGATATCGACTAGGATATTTGTTTTGATATGTTAATATTCGGCCTTAAAGGCCTATAAATAATGAAAATTCACCAACAAAGGCACAAAGCCAACGATGAACTAGATCCTCCGTTGGCAAGTTGACAGAGTCGACAAGGTTTAATTAACGAAATCAAATTGACCCTGAGCTATTCTGATGATGGCCGTATTGAACGTAGATCTCAATCGGAGGGGTTAATTCCAAATATTCAATGCCACCCAAATGCCCATAAAAATTCAAAACTCAAGAAATTCCAAATTCAAAATATTTAAAATCGAAATGAACCATCAAAACGCTTAAACTGAAACCCATCCACCCTCCGCAATAGTTTGTTGAGGCGGATAAATTTCAATATCAATTCGGCTTACGAAGAGCTAATGTCTAGTCGAGAATTCACTAGGATTCATTCTCAAATAGTCTATTGCTAGTAAGATGTGTCACGTGTCCTCTAACTGGTGGTCTTGCCACTAAATGGCACCGTAGGTAAATGGTTATGACAGTTGCCCTTTGAACCGGGTGGTTTGCCGCCAAATGACACCGCTAAATTACAATCATGTCCAGAGCCCGTATGCTCCCCAATGACACTAAATCCTTGAGATATGAATCAATAGGATATGATCGATAGGGCATAAAGCTCTCTGTCAGCTAAGGTGGATTCAAACTTGTCTCCTTAGACAAATATGCACTCCTAGGTCTATAAGGTTCTCTTGGACGACGCAAGCCATGACTTTCAACAAGGATTCTTCTGTCAGGTTGGGTCGACTACCTCCTCTAACTAAGTAGACCAGGGACCATAATTGCCCGGGATGACGAAACCATGAGATCTTGATGGCACCGTAGACCAGTGTCCATCATCCATTCCACCACCATATGTTTTAAGTACAAGTTGGTGAATTTCAAATTTTAAATATCAAATTTGCAATAACGAAAAACCATGCTGCTACTATATTCCATATAACACGTATTTCTTCATATTTGATTGACGACTAGCCTTAATCGAAAGTTCTCTCTCATTACATAGAGGGTTAATTAACTATAGATGCTCGTGTCTATAGAAAACTAGAACTCAGATAATAAAGTCCTTGCAGAATGATGGCGAAATCTCTGGGTAGAGACTTATTTACAAACTCAATCTGTCTTCCCAAAATTTACCCCGGAATCTAATCCATTAAAATTCTCCCGAAAGTGGGGAGGCCGGGGCGCAAATTTTCAGAGCCATAGGAATTTTTTAATTGAGTTATTAACTTGTAATGATTATTTATTAGCAGATTTTCATAAACTCTAAACTATTAAGAAAATGCTTAAAATCTAATAGCGGGAATACTGGTTAAACAACGTCAATATTTCCATCTGAAAGTAATGAAGAAACTAAAAATATCATATGGAGTATGTGACTTAAGCAGAAAGGAGTTAGATCATGGTGGATAACTACTCTTATAGTGCAATTGATTAGAACTGTTTTTTTCTGATCGCAACATTGCTAGTGCATATTTTTTTTCCTGCTTGCTTATAAATATTTGAATTACAGATTGAAGGACCTCAGTTGCTGCAGAATGGCTTCAATGATGTAATAGCGAAAGTAGGTTTAACAAAGTTCATCACAGATCTGTTTTGGGTGGGCATGTTTTATCACCTGTATAATCAGGTATGTTTTTTTCCTTCAACATTCCGGAGTATTTATCATTGGCAAAGGCAGTTTCATATTTGCCATCACACAAATGACTACTAACTTTTCTTTTGTACTTATTTATTCTTGAATACTTCTATTCCAAATTAAATCATGGTTTAGGCCGTGAAATTAGTTGTTTGAACCTTAAAAAAAGTCCAGAATCCAAACAATGCTTTATTTATTTATTTATTTTTTAAATTAAAAATATAAGCCTATCTCAAATATTTTGTTAATTGAAAACAACCATGAAACTAGTTATAAATAAGTAGGCATCACATTAATCATAAATAAGGAGAGTACACGATCAATTATAGATCTACATAATGAGCTAATAAATATTATGTTTTAAGGAAAGTCAGGCCAAATGGCAAGTATGACTTAGACACCCGTAATCATGGAGCATACCGTTTTAAGTTAGAGCTCTACGGTATTTACTATAAATTTACAATTGAGAGCTTGGATAATATGTGGTTTAGAAATTCGAATTTATAGATAATATGGACTCTCAATGCTTTGCGCATAGAAGCTTCAGTGACCATAAACAATGCTATCATGCTTCACTCGTTCACTTTGATCTTCTTGTATGAATATATTCATGAATATTGTTGCCAAATATTATGTTTATCATGTCATAAATATGGAATTCTTCATCAATTGCTTCAGTTTCATTTAATTAATTACAGTTATATTCATATTGCTACGTTGACAGAGATAGAAATCTATATCTTATATTGCCATCATTTTAAGATATTATATGATCTTTGTATTGGTCTCCAATCATTGAAATTGCAATGTAGAATGATGTAAAAATAAATTAAAAAATAATATTATATCAATTGAATAAGTTTAAGAATAATGAAAAATATAATTATTGTTGAATCCAGAATTATTTTATGAATCTCACCTAACTATATTATGAATAAAAGGTGAAAAAGAGAATTGAGGAATTGAGAGACAAGAATTCTTGGCTATGAAGCTTTTAGATTTCTAGAAAATATGCTTGATTATAGAAAATTGTGTTTTACAAACAGATTGCATTAGTTAAGCTCACCCCTTGACTTCATATTTATATATTTGGGTTGGAGCTTGAGCATTACAAAATTTGCTACATGTATGGCTATACAAAAAATATGAGAAAATATAATAATTAATAGCCTGATCAATATGTCTGATTTGATGAAGAAGTTGTTTGTTGAGCTTTTAAAAAGTCACCATACCGACGTTGTCGACACACTTTAGTATGGATGCATATTTCCTTAGCAAAATGCCATTGGATACCCACCATCATCGGCCCTTCATCTGATATTTGTCGGCGGTCTCTTACTTCATATTAGCTATCATCGGCTTCTCGCTCGACCATTATTAGCAGCACATCTCTAACTCTCTTCTTCAGCTCCCCACTGGATTGTTGACTGCCAACAGACTTCCATTCGATCGTCCATCACCGATGGACTTCCGCTCAAATAGCGTTGAAATTCTCCCCGTCTACTAATAACTTCTGGTTCTCCTCCCGAGTATTATTGCCACCAGATCTTCTCAAATCACCATCACATGCAAGAAGCATTTGATCTTATTCTATCAATGACAGTTTAATTCGAGAGTAAGCTCTCATCGTAACTTCTTCTACACAATAGAGGAGCACAGAAGCTTGATAGGGGAATGCCGCCTATCTCCGATAGTGGAATACCTCAAATGTAAGAAGAAGAACACTAGAGAAGAACAAAGAGAAGAAAGCTTCTTTTACATAAGAGAGGGGCACTAAAGCTTGATAGTAGAATGTCACCTATCTCCAATAGTGGAATGCCTTCAATGTAAGAAGAATACCAGAGGAGAAGAAAATGGGAGGAGGAAAAAAATTTTCTTCTATACTAAAAAGGGGCATTAAATTTGGATAGGGGATGCGACTTATCAAAAACAATGGAATGCCTCTAGAGTAAGAAGAAAATTGGGGGATAAAGGAAGGCGAAAGGCTGAAAATTCTAACTTCTAAGAGAGTTAGATGAAAAACAATGGAAAGCCTCAACATAAGAGAGTTAGATGAAGATGTTGTTTGTTGAGCTTTTAAAAAAATCTAGTGCGTTGCATTGTCTCGACGAAGGAATGTTGGAATAAATAGGATTATTCAAATGAAATGCTTGCATGCTTATACATAGGATGATTATGATTCTAGGATATATTGTGATATAATAACTATAGAGAGGCTATAAATCTTTCTTTACACCTTTACAAGCTCGATAGAGATCTAAAAGTGCATAAGCTCTGATTCACAACTATTTTAGACTAGTCTGCTTAGGAGAACATAGATTCATTTATCATCAATAGTCCAAAACATCTTTATATATGGTTATCTCAACTATTTTCTGCATTTCTTAGTAGTTTTAGTCAATTCCCCTTAATTTTGTTGCATATGACAAATTTAGTAGTTTGAGTAAGATAGTAGTTATCTGATCTATTTCCTCATGGGTTCGACACTCTTCTCATAACACTTTATTACTTGATTGACACGTACACTTGTGTTAGTTAGGAGCATTTAACATATGAATGTGTAGTGGTAAGCAATTTCATTAGTATATAATTTTTACCATCAGTAAAGGATTAACTTTTTCACACACAAAATATAAACACAAGCCCCATCAGCATTCTTTATTGAAAGTAATTGATCTAAGAGCTACAATTAAATTATGTTAAAAAATTGGCCCCTCAATGGCTTCTGTAGTGTCCAACATAAACCATCTCTACAAATAAGTTGGAGAAATTCTTCTTTTACATTATGCACAAGATATTATGACATTGATTGGCCCTAGTTTCCTTTTATTATCACTTCTTGACCACTTGTTGGAAACATCAAGGCAAGATGTTGTGTAGAGATGACAGCTCAGAAAGTGTTCAGTTAGGGTTGGTCGAAGATTTTGTTGTAGGTGGTCAGCGCGCTAACTATGATAAATCTGATGGGGGCTGTGGAGTGCACTTTTGAATTATAAAAATATTTAAGACACTACTCTTCTAAACAATAATTTTTTTTTATGTATAAAAATAACAAATCTTACTTAATATACACAAGCATACATGTCGAATCAAGTAATAATGTGATAGAGTAGTATTAAACTCATGAGGAAGTATGCTTTTTATCAATCAAATACTATTGTTTACTCTAATTGCAAAATTATCCTACTTAAATAAAAACATTGGTTGTGAAGATTCAATCATCGAATAAAAATAATGAAATAATGGACACAATATTTAAATAAAGTGATTTGAATTAATGAATATAAATTTCATATCTTTCCTAATGAATTTCTTATTTGTAATGTGATTCAAAGGATATGCATCCCTAGATCTCTGTCGAGCTTATAGGAGTGAAAATGATATCTACTAACTTTCTACACTTATATCATCTCATTAAGAACCTAGCATATTTTACAATTTATGTCTAGGTATACAAATTTACTATTTCACTATTCCTTATTATTCTTGCATTCCTCTATCGTGACTATACATCACACTACATTTTAACTACACATATGACCATTATGTGTATTAAATAAAGAACAGAATAATATTGAAAACATCATTTAACTTTAGAGAACAAGAATCTTTATTAGTATTTAATATATTCTCTACATCATCAATCCAAAACAATATAATTAGCAAGACATGGAGAAAATATAAGTAAATTTTTTTTCATTGAAATCATATAAGAATGAAAATACGAGAGAATAATATCACCAGGAAGGATCAATATATCTCATCTACACTACTTAACGTATGGAGTTGCTCAAAAAAATACTGACTAACACTCTAATGATTATATCAAATATTTCTCTAGTTTTTCTTAGAATTGACTTTAAGAGAGATGTAAAAGAATTACTTTGAAAGTTCTGAAATTACAAACATAACACAATGACTATTTGTAATAAAATAAAAATAGGCAACTGGCGCTGCGGCGCTTGAAAGATTGGCGCCGCAACACCCTTAAAATGAACTAATGCCGCTCTGCTGATGTTTTTGCTCCGTCGCGGCGCTTGTTGACGTGGATCTGCTACTTAGTGAATAGTTGTGAATAGTTGCGTTGCTTCACTGGTATATTTTGTCATTTGGAAGTTACAACTGCTATGTCGTGGCGCTGCTGACTTTCGATTGTTGTGGTGCACGAGTAACAATTTTGGCGCCAAGGCGTTATAGGTTATGACATTGCGACACTTGTAGAATGAACACGGCGCTACCAAGCTGACCACTTTGACACCACGACATTGTCTAATAGAGAAGTCTGCGCCGTCATGTCAATATTGTGGCTCTCCGTTGTTGTCCTTGATAGCATTGTGGTTTTGATTCGTCCAATGCCGCGGCACTGGATAATACTTAGAATTTTGTGTCATTTTTGTATTTCTCCTGCACAAAACAATTAAAGCAACACATTTTAAATGAAAATATAACTCATAATATAACACAATTCATCCATGAACAAGGAGATCACTCCTTCCATCTCTTTGCACTCCCAAGAGAACCCGGAGAAAGGATTGGAAGTAAGGTACATCTTCCTGTAAATCTTCTTTAAGATAATATTCTTGTAGCTCTCTTTGTTTACAAGGATGCTGTCAATATGATAATTGGTGATGTGTTCTGTGACAACAACCACATCGTTATAGCGATTGTCATTTGCTAGATAATCAGCCTCAATAAAGATGATTGGCGACACCTCGGTAGTAGGCATCCTTGAGGTAATTGTCACCACACTCGACCGAATTCGTTTTAGGCTAGCTTACTGAGAAGCTTCTTCGCTAACTTCTCCATGGATTATGAAAACCACCCCAACAATTTGAATCGCTTGTGCTGGGATTAGTTAATTGCAGACCTCATCCACTAGCAGCTTTCCCGACCTCCTTCCGTACTTAGCAAGAACAAGCTCTTTAAGTTTTCTTGGCTTGATGAGATCCTCCACCAAGCTCCACAGATGTCAAGACTCCTCAGTGTTGGTCGTGATGGTAAGCACAACACTTTGATTGGTCATGCCAATGAAAGTCAGCCATCTTGGGTGTCCGCCTTTTGAAGAAATTTTATTTTGAATGGCCTCAGCTAACTTACTGTTGAGGTTCGTAATGGAGGTAGCAAGTGAATTTGAGGAGATAGTGGCCTGTCGCTATGGCGATTATCATGCCTTTTTTTAAGTTCAAACTAAACCCTCAAAGGGATGAATTCTCTGATTCCGGGTGGATCTTCTCTGATCATGATAAAATATTATTTTAGCGCTTGAGTTCTGGGATGACTTCTCTGGTCCCTATGAAATTGCTTGAATTTCTCTCCCATTTTTCTTTACTCCTTCCTCCTGGTTATAGCAGAGGCACCAGTCTCTGTATTGTACTTCTTGGCATTTATGTGACTATTACTAAGTTCAATCAACTTGGCCAATGGCCATAATGGCTGCAGGTTGAGTATTTACCTTAAAGTTCATTTACACATACCTTGGTTAAGAGCTTCTTGAGTCACATATGGCTCTAAATATTTCTGATTGAGCATTTACATCTGAAACCGGGTGAGAAAACTTCAACAATTCACTTGATTGTTGTCTCATCTACAATAAGACTTGAGAGTTCTTCATCAATCTTTGCACATTAGCGAATTGCATCAAGAAAATCTACTTGAACTTGACCAACGAGATGTTGACGCTGAGTAGCAGACATGAGAACCATCTCAAAGGTGATTCCTTGAAGGTAAGGAATAGTAGCCTGTACTTTAATGAACTGCTAATATCAATAAGAGCAATAATTAACTTATGGTGACATGGTCAGTGTGATATGTCCTTCCCTTGTACGGATCTTGATGTGGAATTTTAAATTTTTATGGAGGCTTGGCCTTAGCAATCTCTCTTGAGAAGGCATTGACTAACGGTGGCCTCCTCCTCCTAGTTATTCTTTCCTCCAAATTTAGAATCAAAGTTGACTTCTCACTTTCTGGACTTCTCATTGGAGGTCAAGTATTTGGATCTAGAGATCATAAATAGACTCAAAGGATCCTTTAGGCATTTTGACTCTAGGAGTGGTTTTAGAATCTCTGCAGTGCTTCTGGATCATTTGAGTCTTGTCCTAGAATTTGGGAAGTTCGCAAACAATTAGAAACTCTTGGTTCTCCATGTTGACAAATTCTTTTTTTATTCGGCTTCATGTAACATTTTTCTAGTTAATGGTATGTTCCTTGCTCACCACACATAGGATATTGAATCTTGAATTATCAATGAATTACACCCTAGTATATTGAGAATAATGAGTGAAAAAGAGAATAGAGAAATAGAGAGAAAGAAGAATTCAAGAGTACGAAGATTTGGGATTTCTATAAATGTGCTTGATTATAGAAAATTATCTTATAGACATTGCATAACTTACATAACTGAGCTCACTCCTTGATCCTTTATTTATAGACTAAGGTTGGAGTTGGAGTAGGAGCATTACAGAATTGGTTATTTACATAACTATACAGAAAATATACAATGTGCAATAATTATGTAGCCTAATCGAGATGTTTGACTTAATGAAGTTGTTTGTTGAGCTCTTTACAAGTAACCATCTTGATATGTCAATCGATAATTTGCCATGAGAAGTCATCTTTCCATAAGTAATTGTTAGGGACTCTTAAATATTAGTTGCAAAGGCCAACTGATAAGTCATATTTGCCAATTGGTACATGATTAAATCATGGTTTCCAGCTTGAAGCGAGTTCTCTTTTAGACTGGTGAGTCTCTTTTGAGTTGAGACCGGGTAGACTGCATTAGCTTGGCTTGAAGTAGCTTGATTTTGCTTGAATCAAACTTTCTGGAAATCTGGATGTATATTTATGAAGTAAAGAGCCGTGCGTCATCATTTAGAGGAGTTCATCAAATGCTGTTAAAAGTAGTTTTAGTTCCTCAATGACACATATCTGAATGCTCTGGTATTCTTTCCAATTGACCGTGCTTATTACTTTATTCTATAAACCTTAAACAAACATTTTGATTGTCAGATTTGGGTTTGTCCGCAGATTGGAATGCTGTGGATTTTGTGCAGAAAATTTCTCAACTTTGCTTGCGTTCCAACTCTTTTGTCATAATTGTGATTATTTGCTCAAGTAGTTTTAACCGTGATATTCTTCTCTTTATAACCTAGGTTGCAACAAACACTTTGGAAAGAGTAGCTCCACTCACGCATGCAGTTGGAAATGTATTGAAGCGTGTGTTTGTTATTGGCTTCTCAATCGTTGTATTTGGTATTTTCCAATATTTTATTTTTTTACTTATTTTTTTCTTCGTTACTAAGCATGCTAATTTAAATATGCAAATCATTCAAAATGCTGCAACCTTCTCCTTATCCTGAACAGGAAACAAGATCTCAACTCAAACTGGCATTGGAACTTGCATTGCGATTGCTGGAGTCGCCATTTACTCCTACATTAAGGCTAAAATGGAAGAGGAGAAAAGGGTATGTTGGTGTGCTAATATTCTATTCATCACTTAACTGAATAGCTGTGATTTTGTGCTACTTTTAATTTGTACTATTTGCATATTTTTAATATACTGGCTATTTTTTTTACAAGCTTATAATTTTGAGATATTTCTTGTTGCGCACATTGTGTATTTAAAAAAACTACTTGGAAAAGTTATTTGTATGTTGTATTGTCTTTATTTTGGTTTAGTTTTATTATATTTAAGCCTTGCTTGGGGCAGCTTTGTTTTTGCTTTTAAAGAAACTTAGTAGTACAAATTTTTTAGTTCAAAAATATTTTGTACTAAAATGCTGTTTTAAAAAGCAACAAGAACGCTTTTCCAAACAAAATCTTAATTGTTAGAGTTTAATAAAGTAATTTAACCGGATCCTTTTTATGTCTTCTTCTTTCAGCCATCTTTTTCTATTAACGGTTGATTATGTTTTCTCCATTTACCAAATGCTATTAATTCTTGGACATCTGACACTTTGAAGTATTGTAATACCCACGTATTGAAACTGAATTATTACTAGTATTACTTTTTCGTTGCTTGGCAACTGTTTCCAGTTGGTCATGGGATGTTTTTTCTGCTTGTGAAAACATAACCCATAATACTGCATTATTTCACTAGAATAACAACTTTTACTCCTTTTGGAAATGGCCAAACGATGACAGACTAGCATCAAGTATTATTGGCATTTTGTTAGTGTGAGAAACTCAGAAAGTTCTGAACCAGCGTTTTGACAGAATATATTCATTCATTTCACTTCTATATATATGATTACAGTGTACGTTACGCACTGTTAATTTGTCCTTGGACTTTATGCACTTATTTAATTTTGCTAAGGCAAGCTATGATTTTTGTCCACCATATATTTATGTGTGAGGGATTGCCCTATGTTTATCATCATAAGTGATACTATGCATTTTTTGGATAGGACATTCTAAATACTACACTAGTGGAACGTGGCATCATTGAAATGTTGTATCAGTATGGCCATGCTCTTGTTCTGACTGCTCCTTTACTTTGTCGATCATTGGAATTATCTTTTTTCCTTGCTATCTAATTAATCCTTGGAGTTTAATTGCTTCTTTTCTACTGTTTGGATTGCAGAAAACAAATACAGCTTGATTGGGGGTGATGGAAAGAATCAATATTTCATTGCCAGGAGAAAACTAGAGTTTTCGCACGGATGTAAACCACTTGCATGTTTACTCATCCTTACTATTTATTTTCTATTTTCTTGTGTCTTATTTTTTTGTTTCTCTGTTTGACTTGCAACTGTTACCAATTTGCTCACTAGCGAATAACTTGTTGCATAAACTCATCTTCCAAGACAGCCAACCGTGTATGAGGATGGTATCAGATGGCTCCTAGCCTTAGTTCTTATTATAATAATCTAATAGTGTGTTAGTATTTTGGCCGTTTTTTAGTTAATCTTACGTTAATAAACTTTAAGTTTGGTTGGTTAAAGTGATATCTGCCATGCAATATCATGCCCCACTAATTTATTTATCGGATATAAAATATCATGTTACTATCATAAATCACATAATTCATTTGATAATATCTTTAAATACAACAATTTGAATGATATTTCTGCTGTATTTTGTTGATGCATATGTTGGATTCAATATCTGGGAATGATATCTTATTTTACTAGCAAGCCTATATAGTGAGCTTATGAGTTGAATATGTGAGAATGAAGAGGATGGGAAGAGTAAAGTATTGTAGAATGCTAAAAAAAAGAATAAATCTCAAATAGCCACTAATAATAATAAAAATAAGTGTATGATATCTCAAATTCAACTTTTATTTATGTGGTTTTGAGGGCTAAAGAAAATTTTATATTTGAAAAAAATTTTAAAATATATTAGGGGCGTCAATTTTTGACAAGGCGAAACATGACTCGGACTGACCTGGAAAAATCTAAGTTTGGCTTGACCCGGTTAGCAAACGGGTCGAACTAGAGTTTAGATTTTGACCCATTTAAAAAAAATGGATCAGATTCGGGTTGACCCGACAACTCTAAATCAACCTAACAATGACTTGAAATTAAGTCTGTCGAGTCCATTCGGAGCATTTCGCCCGCACTTGAGGACTGCACGCACTCGATGACTCCGCCCACACTTGTGACTCGCCAGGTGTGCATCACGCACTATCCTATGGCCTTGTCGATCACCTTCCATCGTCTTGCGGCCTCGGCCCTGTTGACTTCCTTCAGCTGTCTCGTAGCCTCGCCGACCACCTTCTCCGGACCCTAGGCTACACCCTAAGCAGTTAGGTCGTCATTGTTGGTGTGTCGCCGCCGCTGTTGGTGCTTTTTCGCAAGTCTTAGAGTAGCGACGGGTCCGACAGGAGCTCCGTTCACGCTTCTTTTGCAATATCAAGATAATTCGAGTCGGGTCGTGTCAACCCGGCAACCTAAGCGGGTCGGGTCTGGGTTGAAATATCAGACTCGTTTGGAAAAATGAGTCGGGTGAGGGTTGATCCTTTTAGACCTAGGTCAACTCGAGTTCGTCCCGAAGCCAACCCATTGACTTGAATTGACACCCCTAAAAAATACAGTGCTATACAAATGCTCATACAATTCCATACATTATCATAAATACATATCTCCTACTTATTAGTTGATGGGGAGTGATGTCATAAGGTTTCAATGAGTTGATTTTGGGCAAGATTAATAGCATTGAGTGGACGAGGGCAAGTGTGCTCGGGTGAGTACTTAGATGAAAGGGGATTACTGGTTGGTGTGCTTATTGACTTTGTCAACAACTTATGAGGGATTTGATTTTACTGGGGGAGAGTGATATGTTGTCATGGAAATGAAGAGCTTTTGAGTGCGATGGTTATGGCGAGGTAGGTTGAAGGCCCTGTGAGAAGATACTTTTTTATAGTTGAGTCTAGTGAGGATGATTGATCTGGTAGGTAGCAAGTGCTTGAGGTTGTTTTGAGGTGGATTGAGTGATTAAGGTGGTGGTCTAAGTATGTGTTGAGATGATAGTATGATGAGGAATACTTAATTTGCTTCACAAAGGGCGAGGTGCTTGATGGGCTCAGGAGAGTAGCACTTGTGGATCTGTGACGACTTAGAATCTAGTTGGATGTATTGATATTAGGATAAAAAAATTTCATTCATATAGAGCCACTAAACAGAAGTAAACATAATAACATCATTTTTTATTTCATCCAAAATTGTTTATATTACAATCATGATGTTACAAAATACTTTTAACATTTCTCATCCAACATATGACATCTATTATCAGATTAACCAAACTAAAATATAAAACATAAAACTCACAAAATCCTAAGATTTCTATCTTCTATTTGAATTTACTTGACATGCTCTTTCCTTATTCCTAAAAAGTAAGCTATCAACTATAGTGAGAAATTGCACTGCACAACATATTATTAAAAAATTATTAAAATATTTAATTTATATTCTATAATAACTTGAATAAAAACTTATCATATATGTAAAAGAAATAATGTATTTATAAATATATTAGTGAGCCTATAAATTATATAAAATAGACATTCATTTACTATAAATGGTCAACACCAACATGTGCGATTTACTTTTCAAGTTCATCACACCTGTTAGTGGTTTATTTGTTGACCTCGTTTTTAACTGAGGTTATATGAACCCCGAACCTCTAAAATTTCCTCTCAAGCTCGACATCACATGCCTATAGTGTTACATGGCTTTATCAAACATCATGGACCCGGTCCTAGGTCCCTTGCGCTAGCCTGTCAAATAGTGCCTTGCCTACAACCTTGTTTTGTATCTGATGATTAGTCTAGATGACCAGACCTTGCCATTGGACTCCAAGCTCCTTACACCTAACCCTAAACATATCTAAACTAGTCTAAACCTTAAACCATGCCTTGGTTGACCTAAAAGATAAGTGGTTAAATCCCAACCTACACTTAGCTCGCCTTGTGGCACTATCCTCTTGACCTTAGACCTTGCACAAAATTCAAACATAAGAGCTCCATATTATAATTATCAACCCTAGCTCATCAAGCTAGAGGTTGGCCCATGTGACCTATTTGAATTAGTTCATGTTAGCCTAGTAGGTTAAACCCTTGCATTGACTTACTATTACCTTTATGATTCTATAAAACCTCACCAAATTAAATCCATCAAAGCTTTGGTTTGAACATGTTTGGTCTGCCTGTTTGAGTCAAAGGTTGACATGATCAACCAAGAACAAGGTTGGTCAAACTAGCCTAATCCGGGTCAACCTTATGCATATAATCCATTGGACCTACCCCGTTGCTCAAGTTGGGTCCATTTGACCTCCTTAACACACCTAAAGCCTAGCCTAGTCACTTCATAGTGAGTTGACCCCCATGGAATGGTAAAATCTAAGCTAAGCATGGTCTCCTTTAAATAAACCTCAATTCCACTCAACCACACTTCTTAAACTAGAGCAAACCAACCTCTAAAACTCTCTCATTATATATACTACTTAGTTTTACCAACGTTGACCAGCCAAATTAGTTAAATGGCCTAAAAATGCATGAGTGGTCAAGGCCCACTCAAATTCACATCCACTGTACACATGTGAATACTTATGCAGGTACCCATTCGTATATGCCTTGTAGGTTACATTCGAGTCGAGTGAGAGCAGGACACACTCCACTCTCGAAGCTACCCATTCGTGGGACTCATTATGGAGTTGAAAGGAGCTTAATGTTGGAGAATAATGGACCAAGGACTAATCACTATGGCCAAGCACTCGCCCGAAAGAGGGCGACCTTGACAGTTCCTCTTAACTAGGCAAACTTTTATTCGCCCAAGCTCGAATTAAAATCCCCATATCAGATACATCTCGAAGCTACCAATATAAAACGACTCTCCCCCAAAAAATCTCCATAAATGACCCAGCTCATCCTTAAAAGTTAACTCTCCGTTTCGCCATAATAGGGTGACTCAGATTACTCCACCATATCCCATCCGCAACAACTAAACAACATTCGCTCCTTACCATCTCAATGGGGTGAACAAAATATTCGACTTGGTCCAGCTCGCCCTCTCAGATCGTCGATCAACTCGGTACCTTCAATGATATCAACATAAATTGATGGGACAACTACGTATCAATACAACTCCTATTTCCTTTCAAATCCTATGAAAAGGAAGAGAAGGTTGAAGTTTAAGTTATGATTGTTAAATCACTTGAACTAGAAAGGCATACCATGAGAGGTGAATTGATGTCTTAAACTTTTCTTTTTTAAAATTCTCTTTTGAAAACTTAAACAAAATTCACAACTTAAATTTAAAAATAGATTTTTTCTAAGCTGAAATAAATAATAAAACAGCTATTTTTTTTTGTTTTATTAAAATATTAATTTATATTTTTATTCTTTTATTTTTAGAAATTTAATTTCTTTTTCTTTTTTGAATAAAAACTAAATCCAAAGTATTCTCAATATTATTGTATAACAATAATGTTAATTCACAGCTCAGATTTATAGGATAATAAATTTATAAGGAAGTAAAGTGCAAAAACTAAAGTACTAAAAAATAAAAAAAGTACAACATAATTTTTTTAATGGTTTGGTCAACATGGACACTCCTTGGAGTTCTTTTCAGGTGTTGTACTAAAACTTTTTAGTGTCTCTTATTTTGCCCCCATAAGGCTGAGAGCGCTTATAAGGATCACTTTCACCCTTAATGTGGCTGAAAATCTAAAATTCTTTTTTACCTTCCTAGGTGCAGCAAAGTAGTCAAATCCCTTTCCCTTTCCTCGGTGTAGTGGAGTAACCAAATCCCTTACACCAACCCGGTGCAGCGAAGTAGCGAAATCCCTTTCACCAACTCGTGTGGTAGAGTAGCCAAACTCTTTAACACCAAATGGCTCTTCTTCACATACCTTAACTCATGGAGGAACTCTGGTGCAAGTTCGCCAGAGTAACCATGTGAAAACATCCTCTCACACTCCCTTGAACTCACAAGAATCTTCTCTCTTTCTCTCAAACTTCACCCTTTCTATCCCTAGCTTTCCTCTCTTCAATGCTTTCTCACAGAGGACACAATCCAATGATTATCAAAAGTCTCTCTCTAACAAAGTAAGAGATGATTAAATATTAGGTCTCAAGAAAATTGTAATAATCAATTTAGTCAACAATGTTCATATAGTATGATATATAGGTCGTATAGTATAATTAGTTCACATATCCTTCTGTAGTACTATATGATGAATAGTATACAACATAATCAATAAAAGTTTGTTAAGGGATCATACTGTATGAATGAACAAGAGCACAATATGATTAGAAAAACACAATATCTGATCATACATGATGAACAAAAATATACAAAGAGCCCTCTGGTGATTCAAACATTAAGAATTTTTTGATCGTACTAGATGAGTCAAACTTCATCCAGAGACTCCTCGGGTGACTCGT